CCTGATCAAATTGAATCCTGAAGGTATCAGGACAGACAAAAGGAAATATTTCTTTACCCAACACATAATTAAACTTTGGAATTTGCTACCACAAGATATGATGCTGGCTACCAGCTTGGCTGGCTTCAAAAAAAAGGTTGGACTAATTCATGGAAGTCATGGGGATCGATGGCTATTAGCCTTGATGGCAGGGACTACTTCTGAAGGCCATCTGCTGGGAGTCTAGTGGGCTTCCTTGTGCAGTTGATTGGCCACTGGGAGAACAGACCGTTGGACTAGATGGGTCGGGGGTCCGATCACAGGCACTGCTTATGTTCTGATGTTCTTGTGCTCACAGAACATACAGAAACCATACTAATAAGCAAATTTAGAAATAATTTTTCCTGGAAAATGCACTAGTTGGAAGATCTTGTGTTTACATGAAAAAAAGAGGCGAAAGAAGGTTTATGTGGGGCTTCCTGTGTGTTAAGAAAAGGCCTAGCATGTTCTGATCAAGCATATAGTTACAGCATAGATTGTATGAGCCTGTTTTACTTCAGAACCAAATGAAGATTGCCAGTTTTTTAACTCACTAGATTTAATCTGCTTCTTCAGAGACGCTCTTCTTATGTAATCTTCTTTTGTGGGCTTAATTCCCTATCCCCATGTAATTTGACTTGACACTGTCAGCTCAATCATTGATAATAATTCTTCAGTGTCGGCAGCAATTCATTACCTGTGAAGGTGGCATCCTCAGGTGCTACACCAGTTCTCCTTCTTTATGTACCAGAGAGCTGCTAGGCCTCCTAGTAGTGCCTTTTCTGTGCCTGGGCCTCAGACTAGATGCCTCAAGACCTTCCCCCTTAAGGGGAGGGCTCTTTCTGTAGTGTAACAAATGCTATAATTGTTACTGACCAGCAGGAGGCACTATGCAACTGGTTTTGTCCTTGCTGGGACTCATCGATACCAGTAGTCTCCATATGCACAAATGCTTTGAGGTATCTTTCTCAGACAATAATACAAGCAACAAATAATACCGTCTTGGGATACATAATCAAATCAGAAGACAAGCAACAAGAAGACTAAACTTTGAGCCCTCTCTGCTGTTTCAGTAAGTGCAGGCTTTGTGTAGGGCTACCTGCTCTTGCACAAGAGAGCTAAACTAATGCTAACTGTGGATTTGGTAATTTAGGAAATAGTCTTGCGCTAGTCTTGCCTGCATAACTTGTGGCTGTTCTGCTGCCCCAATGTCAAATGCAGTCAGGGGCCTTTTGCTTTCTCTGCCTGTGAAATAACAGGGAGGTTGCAAAAGGCTGGAAAAGATGACAGCAGTTCTATTACTGATTGTAATAGCCTTCTATAGAACATGTACCTGAAAGTCACCCAGCCATCACTGCTCCCCCATTAACTTAGTCTCAGGCCATGCTCTTGGATTCAATTGGAAGCAGGGCAGTTTTTCGAGCACACGCCTAATTGCCAACAAAAGGAAGTCAGAGTGAAAGAAGTCACTTCTGCCAGCTGTAATATAGGGCATGCCTCAAAATGGGTAGGTAGCTGTTGAGCGCTTGCTGTCTTTTATCCCCTGAGTCCACCTTGTAATAGCGCCGGTATCCGTGTGCAACAGATATTGTTGTGCACTGAGCTGGAAGCTAATAAATAGGGTCTGAGATTATGATTTACAGAAGGGTGTTTGGAACTCCTTGAACCAGTAGGGAAAGAAAATGGTGCTGGTACAAGCTGTCAACCTCACAACTGTTTGCTTCCCACCTCTCTCTAGAGGGCAATTTCTCCCAAGATGTAGCTTGTTTCTTGTCTCATCATCTGGAAATACTCAAATCGGTGGAACTATGGTTAATTACCAAAATGGCTGATCCACACATTCAGCTGTCAGATTCCTCCCCCTGGCCTCCATACATTTTATTGTTGTTTTCCTCTGAAAGGATTTTTTCCTAAGCAATGAAATAACTCACATTAATGCAGACAGCAGACAGAATACTTTCATGATTATTTCCAGTTGTTTTAAAGGATGGCTTATTTAAAATGCATTACTTTCTGCGAGTGTGAATGTGTGCACTTTTGTGTTACGTGCATGCAAAAGGGAAAAGGGTGATATTTTTTCTGAAAAGTCTGAATGAATTCATATTAAGGGA